GCTGCCCCAGGAGCTCGCAGTCCCGCCGCCCAGAGCATTGCGCCAGCGGCGGAGTGAGCTGAGGTTGCGGGAGAGGAGGAATGGCAGGGGAGGGGCCGGGGGTGAGCCTCCCGGGCCAGGAGCTCAGGAGCCGGGCAGGAGGGTCCCGCGGGCCGTAGTTTGCCCACTTCTGTTCTAGTTAGCCCAGAGCTCAGCTAGGCTGTAGCAAACTCCATATTCAGGCTCTCTCTATCTGACCTTCTTGATCAGTTCTCAGATGAGAGCCCCCCAACTCCTTCCAGCAGCCAGCTCTTATCTCCCACCTCACACCTTTCCAGTCCTTTGTTCTTGAGCTGGGATCTTCGCTTTGCTTCCCTGCTGAGAGGTAGGGAAATCCATCTCCCTTTCAGTCACTGATTGGTAGATGTCAGTGTCCTGGTGATTGTCTTCTCCATACTCCATTGATAGGGGGTTGGCCTCGGCCAGTCCTTTTTAATGACCCATTCAGACTCAGACGGTTGGGTGACATTCATGCCTATGGGCAGGTCTTCACTAGCAACGTTAAAGCGCTGCTGCGGCAGTGCTTTAACGTGGCTGTGTAGTTGCGGCATCCTAGTCCAACTGTTTGAATGGCACAAAGAGCGATATTCGCTAAGCTTCTAAAAAATTGCTGACGACATTTGTCCTCTTTTTCCTTGAAATATAATTTCAGGTCTTGGCCATCTTACCCAGGCAGAGGAATACCTCTCACAAGCTCAATGGATTGTCCTCAAAACTTCTGACTGCAGTAATGGCATTCAGTCTAAATTGCATCGTAACCTGGGTCTCCTCTATGCTGCTAAAGGAAATTTTGAAGAGTCTTTATACCACCTGGCTACTGATGTACGTAGAATAAAATACAGAAGTAGAAGAAAAATTCCTAATAATTGTACACAGTCAATGTAGAGATTGTTAGGAAACCCCAACAGACACTTAGATTCTAGTACAGATTTTAGATACCATGCTAAGAATCACCTTTGAAAAACCTGTGCTAGATAGATACAACAGACAACACATCAGAACTTATCCAAAGTTGTGTTCTAGTAATTACTCTTATTTCTGTGAATTGTGTATTCCCTATGCTTTTTTATAGTATTATTAAATAACACTCATCAGCCTTTCTGTTCAGTTGAGCTATACATTCCTACTGCAACCTTTTGTAGTTGCCTATCATTAAACAAATAGTCCATTTTATACTTGCAATGATCTTATTTCTTGATCATTTTTGTTAGACAAGTTACACTATTTATTGCACTATTTAAACAACTGTTTCCATAATATTTTCCCCATACATTTTTTGACACATGATCCTTTGGGAGAGTAGTCCTGCAAACGTTAACTGTTCTCAGATACCCCACTTAGGAGGAGATGTTGCTGCTATTTAATCTCCCAAGTGTGGGCTTTGCGGTCAATACTAGGAGAAAGGTTACTTTCCTAATAACTGTATTTCCTTGAGTGATTGTCAGTACAGATCTGCCCTCACCCACCTGCCTTGTTCCTTCAGAGTATACTGAGGGGAATCTGATTAAATAGAAAGTAACTGGAACAAGGTCAGGGCTGCTGCTCTTACACAGGACCTGATCTACTTCCTTCTAAAGACTCTCCATAGGCTTTAACGGAAGATATATCAAGTGCACAGTCTCTGGTCCAAACTTTCAGTGGTGCAAGGGAGAATGCACACAGCCCTAATGGCCACTGCTTTGCATGGGTTATCACTTAGCTGCTCCCATGAATGAGGATCAGTGGTGTCAGTCCAGTTGAGTGATTATTGTTAGGAGTGCTAGTGCCAATGTAGGATTCAGGTCTGTATTTTTGCCTGAGATAGTATTTTGGGTTTTGCCTGCCTGTTTTATTTTATAATGCACATACATTCTTACTAATATGTGTAAACAAAGGACAAAGACACTGTGTATGTTGCTTTTGCCCAAGCCAGATGGGTTTGTTAGTATAATGGGAACAGATAATAGCAGTTGAAGTGTTACTGGGCATGGTGGGAGTATAATATATGAGCGCACACTTGAAGACTGCCTCAACTCCTATCTCAAGGCAAGGTCAAGCACCCAGTTGGGAGGGGTAAGGGGAGATTGGGGGGAAGGTAAAACACTAAAAGATCAAAGAAATGCCTGCTCCTGACTGTAGCAAACCTCACTCCTTACCCCTCCCATGGGGTTCAAAAGGGGTGGGATGAAGACCCCAGACTCACGACCCCCCCCAAAACGGAACATGACCATAAGTTATAAGGGGTGGCACTGTGGGTGTGCATTTCAGGTATAATTATGCCTACTGAGGAGGGGGGAGATGGGACACTGGGAAACAAGGCTCTGTGTCATCAGAGATACGGTATACATGCTTGCTGGAAACTAACCCCAATAAACATCGCATTGCCTGCACTTCAGACTTCTGGTCTTTTGCTTTCTGTTTGCGTGACAAGAACCAGGGGAGAGGGTGAAGAGAAAGCCCTCTAACAACTATAGTTACTAAGTAACCTTTCTTTCTCTCCATCCAATAGTTTTGTTCTTATTAATTTCAGGGATATTGACTCAGATTTACCACTGTGTTATATCTTGTGTGTGTGCAGTGTTGTAATTTACACTGGTCCATTACTATCCTCATTTGAGAACATTTCACACCCACTTTGCACGGTTGTCAATGAGGACATGAGGTGACTAAAATCAGGTCCTGGCAGTTATAAACTGCAGCCATGTATATTTAGTCTGTAAGCATAATGGGGGAGAGTCTCTGCTGTATCCAGTTTCCATTGGGCCTCCCCAACCTGGGGGCCTATCAGAGAGTCAGTAATGGCCCTCTATTCTCTGCCTGTTCCTGGTGCATGCTAAAGCTGCCTAGGGGCTGCTCTAATCCTTGCCATCTGGCTAGAGTTCCTTAAGAACCAAATAGCAGTTGAAGATAGCTAGAGTGCAGCATGCTGTGGTGATGTCTCCGCTCAGCCCCTGTTCAGGGATGCTTAGGAACCAACTTTGCCATCTCTATGCCTCTGGACCAGGAATATTCCTAGCTAGGGACATGAGGGAGGTTTTCAGTCCTTTGTGGGAAAAGGGAGAATCTGCATGGTTTTGGTGCAACATTTTAAACTTGGAATTAAATATAATTAATTTTGCATCTAATATTGGGTGGAAAATGGAAGAAATAAATAAAATATTGCTAATCTTCAAGTTAATAAACCTATCCCCAAACTTATTTTGATGTGAATATTAAGTTTATATGATTATATTTTAATATATATTTCAGATTTACTTTGCCAGTTGTGCATTTGGAACACATGACATTAGTACATCTGGAGGTTATTTCCACATGGCTAATGTGTTCTTTCGTCAGAACAAAATGGACATTGCAGACTCACTATACACTGAGGTTAGTAGCACCAGTAAATGTATCTGATATTTACAAGTTCTCTTGAGGTTATTCTCAATGTTTGTGTGTTACCAACTCCCCTTAATGTTATAATGACCCTGGGCCAAATGTGAAAGTGCCACTTTAGGCCACAATCTTGCAAACACTTTTAATATGTGTTTAAATTTGTGTCCCATTGCAGCTAATGGGACTGCTCACGTGCTAAAGTTATGTACGTACTTCAGTGCTCTGCTGAGTCAGGACTTAAAACAAGACATTATTATTAGCATGAAAGTAAGCAACTTCTTATTCAAATATTTCTCTGAGTTACAACCAGGATAGAGAAAGATCAATTAAAAAAAATCAGATTTAAAAAAAGATGTAAACATAGACCTTTTAAACATTTATATTTGAATTTGCAGTAATTTTTCTTAAGGAGTAAGATTATTATTCACTTTTATAATTTAAATACATTTTAAAATGTACAGTTTAATATGTTGAGTCAGTATATCTTGCATTGAGAATCTATGCAGTTGTGATCCCAGAATCGTATCCCACATTTTGTTCAGTACAGTAACCTACTTTATTAAATCGTAAAAATGAAACTCAGTGAAGACATTTTATAATCCAAGCTTTAGAGCAACATTGAGGGTTGTACTGGTAACTTGCTGTGTGACAGATGCTGCCTGTTCCCTAGGACTGGATCCTGCAAGCCTACTTCCTTGCAGGAGTGCAGTTGTAGTGTTAACAAACTCCAGCGGATTATGAGATGGTGAAGGCTTCTTAGTGAATTTTTTCACAGCTTTACCATAGACATCAAGGACAAGAATCATTTAGGTTGTTCCAGTCTTCACTGGCTTTAGAACTGGCTTTAAAAATGGTTCAAACAGTCAAAGCAAAGCAAATTGCTAACAATTTTACCGGTTTATGGGGCCAAATCATGTTAATCCTGTATTTAAAATATATTCTTGAGATCACCTAGCCTCAAACATTATTTTAAACATGGAGTTAACACTCTTTGTTCCCCACCTGTCTTTATAGCTCAGCCAAACCCTGCTATAAAAACCAATTTTGCTACTAATACATTTGCATTGTGGTTAAATAGTCCCACAGCTACGGAAGATGGGTCTAATGAGTGCCTTGGCCAGGGAAGATGGGCTTAGGAGAATAGAATTGAACTGAGCAAAGTTTAAACTGAACATCTGAAAAAAAATTCATCATGATGAGAGCTGGCAGAACATGGAATAATCAGTGGTGGCCCAGTCACTTGAATCATTTAAGACTGTACCTAGCAATGTACTGGAAAATGAGCAAAAGGAAAGGGCAAAACGCATGCCCTTTTTAAATATTGTGTAAGAATATAATTGTGTATGTTAATTCTCTTTCCTTCTCAATAGGTAACTGATATCTGGCATGCCCATTTCAGTAGACTGATTCGAGTCCAATCACAAACTCTCACGTCTCCAGCAGAAATTAATATATTGTCTGAAGAAGAGGAAATCAGTGAAGAACCTCTGAGTAAATCCAGTTTTCAGTATTATTATTATTATTATTATTCATAGAACACAGAATAGTTTGAAGGGAAGGAGCCATAGAATGTTCTCTAGTCCTGTCCACTGTTTACTTTTGTATGAGTCTTGGGAGTCTGACATTTCTATAGATCAAATCCAGTGGGGTCTCTGAGCCATTAGCTTTAAGAATTGAGATTCTGATGCCACTATCTTTCAGAAATTAGTTTCCATTGAAACATTTTCAATTATTTACGTTTTTCTTATTTAAGTTGAAACTCACTAAAGTGAAGTTTCAGCCTGTTGAGGTATGTGTATGGCCCCTTATCTCCTTAACCAGTAGAACCCTATGAACAAGTATGTTCTGGAAGTAGCATATATTAATCTGTATAATAGTCTTAGAACAGGGGTTGTGGAAGCCCCATTATATAAATGAAGTGCTAGCAAATGTACTGCTTTATATGGAACAGTCCTGCACTGTTGGGAGACAAGACAGAGTAGATGCCCTATCTTGTCTTTTCCATCTCCAATGGCTATGATTCTATGAATATTATCAGAGAGGACAGGATGATGTTTCACTCTATGTTTGTGTGACATTACTTCCATTTATCTAAACTATTGCATAAATCTCGCACTAAGAAGTTGCTGCATGTTGCCAGCTTCAATAATCACAGTAATGTAAGATTTGCTGTTTCAGGACGGACAGTACAATGATGTGTAGCAGTATAAATCACTTCTATAGTGCAACTTCTTAGAAGCTGAAACATGTCTATTGACTTCTCATGGTATCCCCTGTGGATAGCAAAAGTGAAACGAAAGCAGACAAAATGCAGAACACAGGTTTGCATTCTAAGTGACAATCAGCCCTAAAGAGCCATCCTCCAACAGGGCCCCTTTCAGGGCGAGCACTGCAAACTCTATTCCAGGACCAGTTCTCAAGGTGCTGCATTTTACACACCTTGAAGGCACATGTCATCTTGCTTCAGGAGACGCACTCCATCACCAGTGTTCCACCACAATCATCTATTGTGGCAACTTCAGTTCTTGCCATGTCAATTGGGGATATCCTGACAACAACAGAGAGCGAGAGCGAGAGAGTCTAATGGAGTGGGCCTCAGTCACTGACCTACCGCTCCTGTAAAACCCAAACCCAACCTCCATGTTTCACATAGCAGATGGGCAACAGTCTCTTCACTCAACATCATCTTTTCATCTTCCAGGCAAGTGCTGCTAGCAGTCGTAGAGTGGAAGATGCTTGAAGCTTTTCCAAAGTCTTAGGCCTTGGGCATCCTTGATCACCCCAGGCCTGTGGAGATCAGTAACAAACAGGCTACAGAAGGCCGAGTGGTATTTTCGGAATGCCTGGTAGGAGGTCTTTCAAGCAGAACTAGAGACATCTATTAGTGAGCTGGCTGAATTGGACTTGTAATGTCGAGCCAATATAAATGACTCCTACCAAATTTTCTGCAAATTAGTTCAGACAGCTGCTAAGAAAAAGATCCCTGGAGGCTATCACCAACAGTGGTCATCAGAGGCAGTTAGCTTTGTCAGGAAGTGTACTCTGCTGGTAATGAACAGGAGGCCTTTAATAGAAGCAAGTAACTAATTCAACTGCTGGATCAAACCAGGCACAATCGACGGAGAGAGACAGGCACAAAGATGGACTTAATTCATTTTAGCCGGAAAGCCTGGCAGACCATAAAAAGACTTTTTGGAGATTTCAGTCTCAGCAAAAAGGAGTTTTCAGTCACTGCAAATGCTGTTGCATTCCAGCTAGTAGCTAATGACCGTGCACAGAATCTGAATAAATCTTTCATCTGTGTGATCAAAACAGAGGTTACAGAGAGATGACAGGCTCCTAGTGTGGATTCAAACCTGATGGCTCCTTTTTCAGACAAAGAGCTTGACCAGGTCATTAAGCTTATGAAAACAGGAAAGGCTCCAGGCCTAGATTATACTTTATATCCATATCAAGTTCCTACTTCACCAAGGCCTGAAAGCCAAAAGCTGGCAGCTTTAGTTCCTCATCCGATGTTTTCCAAGACAACTGCATCCCAAAAATCTGGCCCAGAGCAAAGGTTGTAGCAATTCTGAAATGAGGAAAACCCCTGGGAGATCCCTAGAGCTATCGACCCATCTCTCTCCTGTGTGTCAGATACACACTTATAAAGAGACTGATTCTGATGCACATCAGCGAGGTTATCGAACCACAATTACCCTTTGTTCAGGCTGGTTTCAGATCAGGATGATGTACCCAAGATCAAGTCATTCGCCTAACACCAGACATCGAAAATGCTTTTAAAAAAGTTGGTGCCGTTATGGTTGACCTGTCAGCTGCGTGTGACCATGTCTGGCATGTGGGGCTGTCAGGTTGTTGCAGACTATTCCCTGTAAGCCCATGGTGCGGTTCATCATGGAAATGATAACGAATCGGAGCTTCACCGTGCAAACTGGAAACAGTCAGTTGGCTTAGGCTTCTCTGTAACAGACTCCCCAAGGTTCCATTCTACCATCTTTCCTTTTCAACATACTTACTTACGACTTATCAAGAGCTAAGATCAATAAGTACGTATATGCAGATGACATCTGTCTTGCTGATGTGAGTAACCATCTACATGGTATCGAAGGATCACTCAGCCAAGACATGAATGCGCTGGCCATTTACCATTGTTAGTGGAGACTTTAAGTGAGTCTAATATGGTGGCTGAAACTTTCCTTTTGAACAATTGTCTGGCCAATCAACCCCTTACAGCCTGTGCTGATGATTTTCCACTCCCTTTCAGCCAGTTGTCACTTATTTAGGAGTCAAACTGGACCATAGTCTAACATACAGGTTCCCATCTAGAACACTTAAAGAAAGAGATCACCGCCTGCACTACCTTGATCCAGAAGCTATCAGGAGCCTCCTGGGGAGCAGAGGCAGATGTTTTATGAACCTCAGTCCTGGTGCTGGTCTTTGCTCTAGCAGAATATTGTGCTGCGGTTTGGGGCAGAAGTTGGCATATACATCTCGTTGATTCAGAGCTGAATACAGCCACCTGTATTGTTAGCGGTTGCCTTAGCCACACATTAACATCTAATTTATATGTGTTGGCTCATATAGTTCCCTCAAAACTTTGACCCAATG